TTGATTCAATATGCATAAATCAACGTTGACCCAACGTATGTAAAAAGATCGCAAAGGTTTGATTTTTTTACGATCTAAACCCAACGTTGAAAAATGTGTATAAACCAACATTGATTTAATGTATATACATACATTGGAACAACGCTGGATTTTATACAGTGGATCAACGTTGAGTTTGCATCGAGAAAAAGTAGATAATTTTTTTTTTTTATTTCGTCACTATATATTTTGCATACAATTAACTTTAATTCATGTATACATTTATAAATAAAATAAAAATTAAAATAATGACAGGAGCAAGTAGAAGACTGCAGTCTTATCATGAAGCCCCTTTCATTTGTGACTTTGCAATAAGTTTCACGCGAAATTAACGTGACATTAAAAATAAATTAGAAGAAATAAAGCAAATGCTTAGCTTTGTACGTAAAAAACAAAGTCTTGTACGTAACGATTTGATAGATGAGTATAGAAAAGAAAAACTATTTATATTGTGATATAATCATCGTTTGTGGTCATCTAAAAGGAATAAGTTCGTTTTAGTTATTAATTTGATCTTTAAAAATAGGAGAGTATGTTGACGTCACTTAAGTTAAATGGGTGCAGTTTGACAGCTGCTTTAAAGAGATTTGATGAGTTCATATTTTTTATTTATTTGATGATATACAAATATACCTTTGTATAATTTATGAGAATTTTTTTTCTTTAAAATATTTCAGGAAATATATTTTGCGAATATATTTTTCTCTTTTTTATGTTGTGAAATATCAAGCCACAAGCAAAACAAACATCAACAAAATATTCATCATCAAAATGGCGGTAACAATAATTCATATATACAACTTTATGCGCAAAAATTTATAATATTTTATGTTTACATGTATATGCTTTACACGGGAAATGTCATTAACGTTAAAAAAAATTAGAAAAATCCATCCGAAAACCCTCTTCCTTGCTACCAAAACGTTGATGGGCTTACTCTCAGGTACAAACATGTGGGTCAAGCTGAGAATAGTACCCAAAAAGTGAACACAATAATTTCACCAAAACTAAACGAACTAACGGAGATAAACAAAAAAAACAAAAAATGATGAAAGAGAAGCCATAGAAAGTGAAAACATAGATAAAATCGTTTGCAAGGTTGACATCAATGTCAACGTATCCTCGGAAAAAAATGAAGTTACTTGTACTGAAATAAAAACTTTACCAAAAACTGGTACTCATTCAACTAGGAAAAGACTTGGGCAGTCAGAAGGTGAAACCCCTAAAAAAGTTACAAACAACGCAGTGTTAGTGTTTCTCATTAAAAAATGAATGGCACATATTTGTTCAAGCGCATAAGCTGTTTTGTTGTAGTTCGCGCTTTTTTGTGGAATATTATGGTTCAGTGCGTCCATGTGTTCGTAATACGTCAAGTCAATCGAAAACTCGTGCTGTGAGGTTAAGGAAAATTATAGAACCAAATCAAAATTGCGGAATTCCAGGTAGAACAATATTCTCAAATTTACATTTAGTCCGTGATCTGATAGATTACGCGGAATTTAAAAATCTACCTAGTTTTATTTTGTCAATAGATCAAGAAAAGGCGTTTGACAAAGTCGATCGTGCGTTTCTGCTGCAGATTCTCTAAAAATTTAACCTCGGAAAAAATTTTGTATCCTTCATTGACACTCTATATTCAGAAGTTTTGGTATCTGCTCTGAATTGCGGTTTCATGTCGGCCTCTTTCCCTACGGAAAGGGGAGTTAGACAAGGCAACCCTCTCTCTCTTTTGCAGTATGTTTTTGTCGCTGAAGCTCTCGCTTCGGTGATCAGAGCAGACAGCAGAATAGAGGGTTTCCCACTACCAGGAACATCAAAACCTCTTAAAATACAGCAGTACGCAGACGTTTGAACTTTTTTGCCCGGACGTAAAATCTGTCCGCTATTTTTTCGAAAAAGTAAAACTGTTTGAAAAAGCAAGTGGTTCTGTGATCAATGCCTCAAAAACCAAGGGTCTTGCTCTTGGGGGTTTTGATCCTAAAATGTACCCAGAATTGGGCAACATAGAGTGGACCAATAACACCGGTTTCAAAATATTGGGTGTTACTTTTTACCCCAGACTGAGTGATACTACCAATTTCAACTGGCTAGTAACTCTAAACAAAGTAGAGAAAAAACTAAAGTTTCTGGGACAACGTACTTAATCACTTAGGGAAAAGACTATGTTGATAAATACGCTAGCATTGTCAAAAGTGTGGTTTCTGGCAAATGTGCTGTCCATTCCTGAATGGGTAATATAACATTTGCACAGCGCCATTTTCGAAAATCTGTGGCAAAAGACCAATTTCAATCCAGTCAAAAGAGAGAAGCTTTTCTTACCCGTCAAAAACGGTGGTCTCGGAATTTTATAACCAAAAGAGCAAAGTCTAGCACTTCGCCTCAAAATACTCTTTCAACTGAAAGAATGCGGAGAGGATGACGCTCATAATTACTACTACTTTACAAAGTACTGGTTGGCAAG